TGGAGCAAGCCTTGGGTATTAGTTTGCTAGGTGGGAGAAAGACTGTCAGTTTCTGGTTAGTGACTACAGATGCTCTGAGGCACATTTACAGCCAGTCCAGACACGCCTTGCCATGACACCAGCCAAAGAAAATGATGACGTACCTAGAAGGCATATATCAAAGAAATGGATCCAGACTCTTGACTATAGCACCTTGGAAGTCTAGCTCTGAAGAATTTTGTTAAATAAGCTCATGGATTATAGCTACCACTTAAGCCAGTTTGAGTTGGGTTTCCTATCAAAATAGTTGCAACTGAATTTTGTCTTGTGCACTAAAACATCCAGGTTGAGAGGCTCAAACAACGTGAGCAGAAATTTATCTTTAATCTCTGTGTTGCTTAATTTTCAGATAGGCTCTCCCATATGGAGTTGTTCCTGGCTTACCCCCACTGATGAGAAAAGAAGCTTCTTTTTTTTTTCTCACTGGTTTCTGCAGAAGTCCTGGCTTTGAATCTCATTCTCTTGTCTAGAATCATGTGCCCATTCCTGAGGCAACACTTGGCGGCCAGGTGGACTCTCTCCCCTCAGCCTATTTAAATTCTTCTTAAGAGTTTAATTTGGAACCAGGCCTGGGCTTTCCATCGTTACTTTTTAAACTATTTGATAATGGGCAAATAATTGAATCTCTCTGAACTTTGTCTATAAATTAAGGACCATGGTGATCTCAAGGCCGTGTTGTTATGAAGAGGAAATGAGATAATTATGCAGAGTATTTGCACACTGTTCACTATTTTGTTGTTATTGTTATTACTACTATGTGCTAATTCTAAAGGAAAGTATTCCTGTACCTCCACTTCCAAGAAGTCTGCCCTGATCACCCTCCCATGATTTTTTTTTTTTGCATAGAACTGGGGTGTAAGGAAGAAGGGTGGTGGTGAGAGGATTCTATAGACAGAGTGGGGAGCAGAACAGGCAGATGGGCTGATTAGCAGGGCAGAGAGGAAAGGTCTGCTACACCATATGGGTCACCTCCCTGGCTGGGGATCAAACTTAGGGCAGCAGTAACAGTGCTGAGACTTAACCCCTAGGATACCAGGGAGGGTATGTCTCTCTCCCATGGTTTGTAAGGAAACTTTATGAGCTCTCACAGTGCTTTCTCTAACGACTCTCTATATGGTGTTCCAGTTTCTGCTTATGTTATGACTCCTCTGCCCTTTCAGACCTCTGGCCCTCAGGGGGTTGGGATTACCGCATCTCTGCATCTTAAAAAGAACTAGGGCTTTATACATTCCAAAGCATTTCCTCTTCCATTTTATCATCTGAACTAGTAAATCCCAGGAGGCATGAGGGACTATTGTTCTTAGACTGGAAAACTGAGACCTTAAGGGAGCAGTGACATGCCTGAAGTCAAACAGCAAATCTGTGGATAAGAAGTTAGATATTTCTTCTGGTTCTCACCACAGGAGTTTTATGTTGGACAAATGGTTTTGAATGTAGACTTCAAACCTTCAGTGAAGATCCCTGGGACCTCCTGCACTTTCACTAGGTGATTCTTTTCACTAGCTCACAGCTTTTCTTTTCCTGCTGTGCTTCTCCCCTTCACCCCTAGCCCCAGAGACATCTCTGACCTACACAGACTCTTTCTGCCTCTGAAATACACCACTCCAGCCAGGCTCGATAATTCTGCTTCATTATGCATCTGGAACCAACTTCCAAATCCCAGGAAGGACAGTAGAGAATGTTTGCTCCAGCCTAGTGTTCTGGGGGAAATATCTGGCCTTGTTCAAGTCAAAGTTAACTTACCCTGAAGCCTCCTCTGTAAATCTGCTTATATGCTCTGGACGCTGCAGACAGCCTCGAGTTTGAATCTTAACATTGTGATGTGCTGCCTCTGTTTCCTCATCTATAAAAGGGCAATATATCCACCAACTTCAAGGGTCCATCAAGAGGATGAACTCAAAGAAGGAATGCAAAGAGGGTGACATTCTTCAAAGAGGGTTCAGGAGGGAGAAATGACTTGAGGAATGCAGGAATGTCCTTTCTGACCTTGCACATGGGTGGTGATCTGTGGCCTCAGGAGCCCTCCCCCACTCCCCAGACAAGCTCAATTTCTCCAGCTCACTTCCAGGGCTGTCAACACTTTATCTACATCCAATTCTCTCTCCAGAAGTGTGTATCTTATCTCTGTGGCTTATCACAGCCTTGTCTGTCTGGGAAGGAAAGGGAATGGGTTGTACACACAAAAAAAGTGGTCTGGGTCACTCAGCCTCTCCACACCTCAATATCTTGTCTATAAAATGTTGTTACAGGCCAGGGAGAGGGGCACCCCAGAACACCCAAATCTGCCTGCTCTGAATTGGTTCTAATGCATCAAGACAAAACACAAAAGATCCTTAATGGAAAGGAACTTGAATACACTCAGCGAACAATAGAGAAAAGACAAAGAATATAGTTTCTAAATCAAGCACCCAAAATTAACCATCCCCTGTGGGTAAAAGCCCACCCAGGGGCCTCCCAGGTGGTGCAATGGGTTAGGACGCAGCACTGCAAGCTAGCTGCAGCTGCAGCAGTGCGAGTTCGAGCCCTTGCCCAGAGGTGACCACATGGCGTGGCAGACCTCTCCTGACCACAACATGGTGTGGCAGACCTCCCCTGACCTGCCCGCTGCTCTGCTCAGCAATGTCCTTCCTCGGTCTGCCTGTTCTGCTCCCCACTCTGTCTCTGGTGACTCCTCTCAGTGCCCCTGTACCTCTGGCCTGTACCCCAGTTCTGTATGCATACATAAATAAGTCTTAAAAAAAAAAAAAGCCCACCCAAATGGGATTGGCTCAGAGCAAGACCTGAAAGCCCACCACAAGTCTAAAGCACCTTCCCTAGAAAAGGGTCAGAAGGGTCAGAAGCAGTCAGACAAGTCTGGGAGGAAAAGGGCAAAGTCAAAATCAAGATAAAAAGCTGCCACTGGTAACCTTCCCACGGGTTTCTCACCCACATCAGTTTCAGCCCTTCCAAGACCCAAAAACTAAGAGCCTCTTCTTCACATGTCTCTCTGCTCCACATGCCTCCTCCAGGTCTCCTTCTGGATCTCCATCCTACTTCCTTCCTTCTCCAATCTCCTCTCCAGCTTCTTCTCCCTGCCCAGCTCCACCCTCCTTTGGGTGGGGCAGGGAGCTTGGCACCTCCTTTTTTTCCTGGGCACCACCCTGTTACAATGTGACAACATGAAGCCACATCTAGCCACATGTGACTGTTAAGATTTGGAGAGGTCTTAGAAGTTAGCTCCTTGATCTCATTATTCATATATCAAGTGCTTGTATGTGGACAACATGGCTACAGAGCATTTCTAGCAGGAAGTTCGGGCGATTTGGGTTTAGACAAGCTACGCAAAACTCAGCTGCATGCAGCGGCATAATTCATCAGTTGCAAACTGTGGGGAGGGGCCACAACTGCTCTTCCAGAAAACACGGCAAAGAGTTGTGGCTCACGAAGGATGTGTGGCTCACTGAGGGGCTTCTCCAGAAGGCAGGTGAGCCAAGTTCAAAACAGATTTCTGAATTCTGCTGCAAGGCATTTAGGTACATGAGGCCGAATTCAATCTCCTGGTGGAGAAAGAGATGTAGAGTAGTGGGAACAGGAAACACGTCGTGGGAAAGGGTTTCTAGCATCTAGAACTACTAGTGTTCAACATTCTGAAGGAAATATGAGTAGGTAGATTTGCAAATGTGTTAGTCTCTTACCGCTCCCTTTCAGTCTTCCTCTTCCCTTCCTTTCCCTTCCCCTCCTTGCCCTCCTTATCAGTCTCTCTCCAACTCCTCTCCTCTCCCGCTTATACTTTTGCCTGAGAAGGGAGCTCCAGATCCCAGCCAGTGAGAACAGAAGGAATGCAGTTTTCCATCTGGTTCCTTCACAGGGAGGAGGAATCCGAGCAATTTGCTTAAGTTGCCTTTATGAGTGAGGGCAGAGTGGGACTTGCTGGCACAAGTCCCCTTAAAACCAGAACCTGGAGGGTGCAGTATTCACCTTGCAGGGTGTAGTATTCCTGCCCACGTAGCAAGGTCCCACCTGCCCCCAAGACTTGCTGTGAGGGTCTTTGCTGACTCCCAGCCTAACTGGGGCAGGTCAGTCAGCTGTGCTGTGCTGTGAATACTCTCCAGTGTCTGCTGCTGCGCACAGCACTTACTTGACCCATAGTGGATGCTTGTGAACTGAAGGGCAGAGGTGATTCCTCTTGTTGGGGTGAGAGTGTGAGGCCATGCGGAAGGGAGAGCTGGCATGAAGGGGTGTGCCTGTAGGAGAGGCGTCTGTAAATTTCTCCCATGAGGGAAGCAGTGAGCCAAGGGGCTGCATCTCTTTAGTATGATGGCCCCATAGGCGTCTAGAAAGCCCAAACACCCCTTCTCAGAACTTTTGTGTATGCTGCATTGAGGTATATATGAAAAAGGGCGTACATGTAAGGGTACATGTGAATTCGCACAAAGTTAACACTTAGGACCCCGCATCCTACGCAAGAAATTGAACTCGACCAGCATCCCAGCAGCCCCAAACCCCTTCCAGGTTCCACCTCCTGAGAGCAGCCTCTATCAGAAAATAATTTCCAAGTGCAAACAGCCAAAGCTAGAACGCGAGTTTTTGCAGAGAACGAGGAGTGTGGATGGGGAGGACCATGAGGTGTGTGGCGTTGCGTGGCGTGTGTGTGTTGTGTGGGGTGTGTGAGTGAGTGAAGGCTTCGAGTGCATGGGTTCGAGCATGAATTTGCCAGAGTTTGTGCAGGGGTGAAGGGGGGAGGTTGTTGGGACACGCGTGTGGGGAAATCGGGCACAGGTCGCAGGGCGCTGTAGCGGCGCAAGGGCCGCGGGTTCTTGGTCTGGGGTCCTTGGGGTGAGGCAGCGGGGGGCGCGTGGGCGGGATCTCGGTGGGATGGGGGCGGGGCCGCAGGAGGGCGAAGGGGCGGGACCGGCGAGCGCGCGCACGCAGCCGGCGCGCCCCCTCCCGGCCGCCATGTTGGCTGGTGTGTGGGTGTCAAACAGAGCTAGACGCGGCGGCGGCTCCGCGGGCTGCGGTCGCTCCCGCCTTTCCTGTGCCACCGGCGGCCACAGCCGCGCACCCGGGCGGGCCCGGAGGAGCGGAGGTGAGCCGGGGTCTGTGGGGCTCGGGGGCCAGAGCGGGACCCCAGGACGCGGACCCTGCCCCTCTGGGGACGCGCGACGCCCCCAGAGCGAGGCCCCCTTCCTCAGGCAGCCCTCCCAGAGAATGCACGCACGCTGCCTGAGCTTGGTCCCTAGCTCCGGCGGGACCCGGTCTTCCAGCCAGGCCCCGCCCCACGGGCTGGAGCTGGGCCCCCTCCCCATCGGGATTCCTCTGTCGGCTGCGAGGCCCCCACCCCCACTTCTCCATCACTGAGTACTACCTCTTATAACCTTGGGGTCTCTTACTCCGCTTACTTCCACCCCGAATCCGGGAGCCCCTCCAGTCCTCTTTACCTTCTACCTTTAGCTTGGAACAACCCTGCCGCTCCTCTCCGGAGCGCTTTCCTCCCCTCCCCGGGCCGGGCGCCCCTTTGCTCCAGATCCGCCCCCGCGCAGAGCCCAGCCCCCGTTCCCTCCGCCAATTCGGGGAGGGGTCCGCGCTGTCCAGGATCTGCGCCCGTCCTCCAGTTCCTTGGACCCGAAGCGGGGCCCCCCTCCTCTCCCTAGGGATCAGGTTCTCCCTCCCCACCCCCTACCCCACAGCACAGCGGGGACGGGGGCGGCAGAGCCAGGCTCCAGCTGCCTTTTGTTCCGCGTGGGATGGTGGAGACCCCGCCCGGCGGTCCTGCGCGGTTAATCCGGGTGGGTGAATGGGTGCGTGGGGGTCGGCCTTTTCCAGGAGACCCTCTTCCTCCCTCTTCCCTTGGGGCGGCTCCCCTGCACTCGAGCGCTTTGGGAGAGGCTGGCCCTTCCTAGAGGAGTCCGTGCCAACAGGTTTTTGTTTGCGACCTGAAGTTGGCCCAGTGGCTCTGCGGATGTGAGTGTGTGTGTGTTGGGGGTGGAGGTAGTGGGTGGGTG